TGTGTGTGTGTGTGTGTGTGTGTGTGTGTGTGTGGTGTAGGTATTAGTTACTGGTTATAAATCAAATTGTGTCATAATAAATGTGACATCTTTGTCTTGCCCCCTGAAACGATCCTGTGTAGTTCTGTCTGCATAACGCCTCCAGCTTTGTTCCAGCTTTACCCCCAGAGCTTTGTCCAAGCTGGTCATTCAGAGAACTAATTAGTGACTGCTAATTATTAATAATTATTAAATGCGTTGGATTTAAATGGGGCTCAGTGGGCCCCTGTGCAGGCAGAGTGAGGATGGGACTTGAAAGGGGTTTGGAACCAGTGCGAGTTCTGGGTGTGTGGTTCCTGAGCGAGGGCTGTGTGCTCTAATCCTAACGCTAATTCCGAGCATCCAGCCAGTGTTTTTCACTGGTAGCAATTCCCAGTCCTTCACCAAGAGGATTTGCAATGTTGTTGCAGGTGCCGGTGGTGTTCGAGGACGTGGCGGTCTATTTCTCACCGGAGGAATGGGCGGAGTTAGCCAAATGGCAGAGGGAGCTGTACCGGGACGTGATGAAGGAGAATTACGAGCTGGTGGCTTCACTGGGTGAGGCTCCTTTCCCACTCTTCTCTCAGGGCCGGGGGTCTGGGACAGAGCCAGGAGATGTCAGAGCAGCTCAGCGCACATTTCACTGCGGCTCAGAAGAATCTCAGACCCTGGAAATGCTGTGCTCTGACACCCCCACCCCACCCCGAGGGCTCTTGGCCCTGTAGCTAGAAGGGTTTATGTTGGACAGCAGAGATTCTCAGGGTTCTGTGCTTACTTGCTGGGCTGCTTGTGGAGTAAAGGTCCTACAGAATCAGGCCTACAGACCTGATCACAAACTGCTCTTCATAAGCCAGGGTGAACCCACAGCCAGGAAATCTACTCCTCCCGAGTTCGTCACTCACCAGGCTGCAATTCTCTGCCCCCTGCACAGGGCATCCTGGTGTCAAACCCGAGATCATCTGCCAGATGGAGCGAGGGGAAGAGCCATGTGTGGAGGATCCCTGGGGCTGGGAAGAGAGAAGCACAACCCAGAAACCCTGCTCAGGTGAGTCATGAAAACACCAAGAGCTGGGGGAGATGGAGGGATGGGCTCAAAGCCCAGGGAAATCGCTCCGGGTCAAAGAATGTTTCAAACAATGGCTGGCTTTCCCGGGCCCTGGATGCAGCTGTGACCACTTGTAGGTGACATTGGAGAAGGGCAGGGAAGATGGCAAGGGGTCTGAGCAGGTTAGGGAGAGCTGTCAAAACTGGGTTATTCCTATGGGAAGAGTTAAAGGGGAGTAAGGCCTTGTCTACACTACAAAATTAAGTCGACTTAATTTACATCAATGTACAGCCGTCGCAGGACTTAAACCACTGTTGTGTGTCCACACTACGCTCCGTGTGTCGGCAGTGTGCATCCACACTAGCAGTGCGTGCATCGACACAGAGAGCAGTGCACTGTGGGTGGCTATCCCACTGTGCAACTCACCACCATCTAGTGCGCGGTGTTCTGGGAAGGGTTTGCAATGCCTCATGGGCAAGGAACAGTCACGCAGGGGCGAGTTACAATACGAGTTCAGCATCCCATGATGCAGTTTTCTCCATCCCATCATTCCACGGGTATCCGGTTACGTTTCACACTTTTCTCCGGCAAGCCTGTGCGTCCGCCATCTCCGTGAGACTCCTGGATCCTGCGCTGCTCTTCAGTGTTGTGCTGAGTGTCATGAACACAACACGGCTGATCCTGCAGTACTTCCAGAGCTGCGAGGAGTATGACAGTTCTTTGCAGGCTGCCTTGCTGTGTGCCGTGGAAAGAAACAATTCAAGATTGCTGTTGGCATTTACCGAGCAGCTGCACACAGTAGATCGCCGGTTCTGGACCCGGGAAACAAGCAGTGGCTGGTGGGATCGCATTGTTATGCAGATGTGGGATGACGAGCAGTGGCTGCAGAACTTTTGGACGTGCAAGGCCACGTTCCTGGAACTGTGAGCGGAGCTCGCCCCAGCCCTCCAGCTCAGGGACACCAAAATGAGAGCGGCACTCACGGTGGAAAAGTGAGTGGCAATCACTGTGTAGAAGCTTGCAACGCCAGATTGCTACTCATCAGTCGGGAATTGCTTGGGAGTTGGGAAATGCACCGTGGGTGTTGCTGTGATGTAAGCGTGTGGGGCCATTAATCATATCCTGCTACAAAGGACAGTGACTCTGGGCAATGTGCAGGAAATAGTGGATGGTTTTGCAGCAATAGGGTTCCCAAACTGAGGGGGGCCATTGATGGCCCATACATCCCTATCTTGGTCCCAGACCACCTTGCGACGGAGTACATCACAGAATGGTATTACAAGCGCTGGTGGATCACCGGGGTTCTTTCACCGGCATCAAGGCAGGCTGGTCAGGGAAGGTGCATGACGCACACCTCTTTAGGAACACAGACTTGTGCAGAAGAAGGCTTCAAGCAGGGACTTTTTTCCCAGACCAGATGATTACCACTGAGGATGTGGAAATGCCAAGAGTGATCCTGGGAGACCCAGCCTACGCCTTACTACCGTGGCTCATGAAGCCATACACTGGCCACCTCGACAGCAGCAAAGAGTGCTTCAACAACAGGCGTGGCAGGTGCAGAATGACTGTTGAATGTGCCTTTGGCCGTTTTTACTGTTTACTCTCAAGATTAAACCTCAGTGAAGACCATATCCCCATGGTCATAGCTGCCCATTGCTTCCTGTTCTATCCCTAGAGGCTAAGGTGAATAAGTTTTCTCCCTCCTCCTTATGACACCCTTTTAGATACCTGAAAACTGCTATCATGTCCCCTCTCAGTCGTCTCTTTTCCAAACTAAACAAACCCAGTTCTTTCAGCCTTCCTTCATAGGTCATGTTCTCAAGACCTTTAATCATTCTTGTTGCTCTTCTCTGGACCCGCTCCAATTTCTCCACATCTTTCTTGAAATGCGGTGCCCAGAACTGGACACAATACTCCATCTGAGGCCTAACCAGAGCAGAGTAGAGCGGAAGAATGACTTCTCGTGTCTTGCTTACAACACACCTGTTAATACATCCCAGAATCATGTTGGCTTTTTTTGCAACAGCATCACACTGTTGACTCATATTTAGTTTGTGGTCCACTATAACCCCTAGATCCCTTTCTGCCGTATTCCTTTCTAGACAGTCTCTTCCCATTCTGTATGTGTGAAATTGACTGTTCCTTCCTAAGTGGAGCACTTTGCATTTGTCTTTGTTAAACTTCATCCTGTTTACC